CGGAGAGGGGAAATTGAGTTTCCGCTTCTCTGCTGCAAATACGGCGGTGATCTGAGCCCAGGGGTAACCCGGGCTTCCTCCTTGCGGGAGGAAGGAGCCCGCTAGTGCAGGTTCAGGGCTTCCCCGCCAGGTGGCGCCAGGCCGGCTCTGGCAGCGACTGCGCCGGCCTTCGGCGTCCAGGCTTCTCTGAGTCCACAGGGCTCTACGTCTCCATCGCTCTGTCTTCGGCGTACTTTCTGCTGCCCCCGCTCGGGGCCTGGGTGCTAAGCTCTAGGCACAGCTTGGAGGTAGGGATTTACTCCCAGGAACTGGAGTCCTGCCTCGCTGAGATGGGCAAAAGTGAACTGGGGTGACAACCCATCATCAAGCTGTGTGACTTTGGGCATGCCAGTCACCCTCTCTGGGCTGCCTTACTTTGTTTTTACGTTTACAAAGGACTTTATTCAGATCTCTGGAAGCTGGCATTTGATCCCATATTATAGACAGAAGTGGGACCAGTCCAGGATTGCAGTGTAGGGGTGGGAGAAACTAGACCATGTGACCGGAGAGCCTGAGAGTTGTTCTCTGCAGGAGAGGGTAACTGATAGGTGGATGGAGAGAGTCCCCACAGGCCTAAACAGAAAGCTCAGTTCCGCATGTGTGACACAGATGATAGCGGTACCTCACGCTCAGGGTGGTCCTGAACACTTAGGAAGGTAACGCATATTAAGGGCCTATTATGGCTGGCTTTGCCCTGGTCTCCAAGAGGGTCTCCTCTCCTTCACTTTCCCAGTGTCACCCAGGCTCTGCTTTCTTCTCTTTTTCTGGGCTTGGGAGAGCACTGGAGATAGGGACTCATCCTCCCTAAGGGCTTTGCCAGTGGCCCAGAGATACCAGGTAAGAAGCCCAGTGGCCCAGCTCAGAGTTTCCGTAGGGTGGGTCATGGATGTAACGTTCACATGTCAGAATCCTCTGAGGGCCTGAATCTTGGATGGGGCCTTGTGACTGTGGGGAACTCTTCTGATCCGGAAACACAATGGGAATGCCACTAACTGGGTCACCCTGGGCAAGTCACTGCCCCTTTCCGGGCATTGGTTTCTGCCCCTATTGAATGGAGCATTGGAACTGGGGTTCTGGATTCTACTTGCCAGTCACTTACGGAATCAGCATGCTAGTCCTGCCTATGAAGGACAGATTGCAGAGGCAGGAGCTGTGAGGGAGTGCGGCGACACACCCAAGGTCACTTAGAGAAGGAGCAGCACAACCAAAACCGGGCCTCGGAGCCATGCTCTGCCCCCTTCCCCCAGCCAGCATCTGAATTCTCAGTGGCGGGTGTGGTCTCTGGCGGTGCCACGCGGGCACAGGGCTGGGCCCGAGCGCTCCCAGGGCGGCCCTGACACAAGGACGGCTTAAGAAACCCTTGGGGCTCTGGCAGGAAATCCAGGGCAACCTCGCCTCGCCCAGCCTGGTTGTTCCTACAGTGGAGATGAGAGAAGATGCATTTCCAGGCTGTTTGTTCTGTGACCCCAGGTGGGAAAGTGACATGCAGCAGATGACAGCTGCTCCCTCCCCCACGGTGGCTTCTGGAAAGACAGCAGAGCCTCAGGTAGGCAGGGACCCTGCTCTCACAGAGAAGCTTGGGGGAGAAATCCTGGCCACCTTGGTCCCCAGGGCACAGCTCCTACAGGCCCCTCCTTCAGAAGTGAACGAGTCCATCGTACAGAGGCCAGGACAGATTCAGGAGGAAATCAGTGTCCCCAAAGTGAGGTGACTGCTGCCTGCACAAGCAGGCCCCGTGGGCATCCCTCCGAAGAGTAGGAGGGCACTGATCGGTCTGGCTGTGTGGCCGTGGGCAGGTCGGTTTGCCTCTCTGAGCCAGCTTCCTCATCTGTAGACTAGGCACAACACTGACTTCCTGGAGCTCTGAAGAGAATTAAAAGAGGCTGCATCTAGGAAAAGGGACCCTTCTCTCCCTCCACCTCCCCAGATAATGGCCCCTAAACACTGCTCTCTGTGCCTGAAAGCTGCGGTCAGAAGAGGGAGCAGCTGTGTGGTGGGCGTCCACTTTGTGCCAGATGTTGAACATGTGTACTTTTAAAAAATTATTATTAAAAATCCTCACCCAAGGATATGCTTATTGATTTTAGACAGACAGGACAGAGGAGAGAGAAACATCCATCAGTTGCCTCCTGTATGCACCCTGACTGGGGATCAAACCTGCAACCTAGGTATGTGCCCTGAGCAAGGATCGAACCTGCACCCTTCTGGTGTACAGGACTGCACTAAAAAATGGAGCCACCCAGCCAGAGCTGAACATATGTATTCTTATTTAATCTTCAAAACAACACTGGGAGTTAAATATTATCTCCCTCACTTTTTTTTCTTTTTTTCTTTAACAGATGGGGAAACAGATGCAGAGAGCTGAGCCTTCTCTCCTGCTGTCTGGGTGGGGCTGAGGGGTGGCCATTAGGAAGGGGCCTGGGGTGGGGGAGACACGAGCCAGTCTAGGGCCAGTTGTGGGCAGGCACTGTGCTGGGCACAGAACTCCAGGGGTGAGCAAGACAGCGCCATTCCTGCCCCTCCGAGCTCAGAGTAGGATGACACACACAGGAAGCAGACTCAGTTTCCAACCACTGACCTCAGTTGCCTGTGCACAATATGGGTGTGTGAGGAGGGTGCTGACCTGCTCTGGGGGCCAGAGGTCTGAAGGATGAGTAGGGGCCAAAGGGACAATCAAGAGACGCCAGAGCACAGATCTGAGGGGAGAAACAAATTCGGCTACCCAGGAAGGGGGAGTGTGAGAGGGGCAGGGGTCCGTTTGTGGAGATGAGAAGGGATTTTAAATTCTATTGGGACCACAATGGGGAGCCACTGAGGGCTTTAAGCAGGGCATGAGCGGCGGGGTTTAGATTCAGAGTAGGGACGCTTGGTGTCCCTCTGCATAGCCTGTCTGCAGGACAGCTCCCTGGGGCAGGGAGAAGGTGGCTAACCCCAGGTCAAAAGGACAGGGCCCAGGAACTCAATGAATGCAATGAAAGAGGGAGGAGAGGAAGGAGCCTAAGGTGACCCCCAGCGTAGTCGGTCTTGGAGGGCATGGACAGGAGGCGCGGGAGTGGCCAGGATTAATGGGTCCAGGGAGACTTCCCGAGAGGCGTCTGGCTGACAGTGAGGCTGAGCTTGTGGGCCCAGGCTGGAGGAGCCCCAGAAAGGGGGAGGAAAGGCGGCTGGGGAGGGGGAAAAGCCAGGAGGGGCAGGCAGGAGAAACAAGTGATGACCACCAGGGCAGGTGGAGCACCCAGGACAAGGACAGTCAGACAGTCCAGGTTTGGCCTCCAGAGTTGGTTGATGTCCCCAGGAAGAGCAGCGACTGAGGGAGCAGGAGGAAGGAATCCGTGAGGGCAGAGGCCAGGGTGCGGTGAGTCAGTGTGCGCTGGGTGAGTGAAATGCAGGGTTGATCTGGGGGTCTCAGCGAAGGAGGTGGCCGGAGGCAGGAGGTGGGGGGAGGAGGCAGGAAGGAGGCTGCTGCCTCAGTGGGGTGCAGGCAACAGCCCAGCCCTCGAGCTGAGGGCGTTCTCTTCCCAGCTCAGGCCGTTGGAGCCTTCAGTCCCACGTGGGCAGCAGGAGGACCCTCGTGACCTCGCTCTCCGACCGCAGGGGGGCAGCCCCGGGCGCCGAGGCCCAGTCCCACCCACTGTGGCCTCTTCTGGACGCCGGTAATCTGAAGGTCGGTCCACCCGAGGAGGCTCCACTCCCTGGAGTGGCCAAGGATGCCCGGTGGAGCCTGTGTTCGACGCATAGTTGTGCCATGTGGCTTCGGACCCGCTCTGCCACGCGTTGGGAGGTGGGGTGGCCCGGGCCGGCGACGTCCTCCGGTTCCCCCTCTCAGCCTGGGGCGCACAGCCGGGTCTCATTACCTCCCATACCCCTCCCCTCGCGCCCCGCGTGCCGGGGGGTCTCGGCGGCCGGGGGAGGGGCGTGTTCTAATCAATCCCAGGCCGGAAATTCCTCCCGAGGGGCCCGGCAGGGCTGCGGGAGTGAGGTGGGGGCCCGGCACCGAACCTGGCAATCCTCCTCTTCTGAGCCCGCCCCCCGCATCATGGAAACTGGGCCGCCGGCCGACCCCCGCTCTCAGCTCCACATTCTTGCCTCTGGGGGCGGGCGGGGCACGAAAGCCAAGCCACCCCCTTCAGGCCGGTCCGCGGGCGCTCTGAGGTCCTCAGTACCCTCCTCCTGCTTTGGGACAAGCACCGCTCCCGCTTCCGGATTGGACGCATCTTAGGGGGGGTTAGGGAGGTCGAGCAGAACCCGCGACACCCCATTTGATTCCCTCGGCTCTAGGGCTCGGGCTCGTCCCTATTACCGCGCCCCCCACCCTCGCCGTGATTACTAGACCTTAAGCGCTCGCAGGGGCCTCCGGAGCTGCGCCCTGGGTTGCCCGCCCCATCCTCACTGCCGGAGTTTAGCCCTTCAGCAGCTCGCGAAGCACGCACCCTATGCCCATTTTACAGGTGAAGGCAGTGAGATTCATCAGCGGAAGGGCTGGCGGAGCAAGAAATCAGGCTGCCTCCTCCGGGCAGCTCCCCGGACAGCGCTGGGCGTCACTGGGCTCTCAGACGCCCCCTCGAGTCCCCTCCCCGGTGCCTGGACTGAGGGTTTCTGGGAGGCGCGGGACAATGTGCGGCCTTCGACCCCTCAGACTGCGGTGCTGGGCAGGGGGCGCTCAGTTCCCTCTTGTGGAAAGAGGGCGCCCTCCCAGGCCTTTGCGGACGTAAGCGGGGGACTTGGACCCGGGCCTCCGAGTCTCCCCGCGTGCACACAGCGCTTACCTGCGACCCTCAGACCTGAGGTGTTGCTTTCTTCTAGCGGCCGGGCCTGGCGGGGCGCAGGCCAGACTGGCCCCGGGACTCCCGGAGGGCGGGGCCCGGGCGTCGCGGGGCGGGGCGGGGCGGGGGCGGGACCGGGGATCCAGATTCCGTGGAGACCGCGGCAGCGCCGCGAGCCGAGACGCGCGGACTGGGACCCGGACCCACCCGGGCGCGGAGGCGCCAGGTGAGCAAAACTAGGGTCACGGGTTGGTTCCCCACTTTCCCCAACTTTTTGTTTGGCTCCTCCCTCCGGAAAGGCCCCGGGGGGGCGGGAACCGGGTCTACCCTTTCTCCGGGACTGAACAGCGGACGCGGGCGGAGGCGAAATTCCGGAGTGCCCAGGACTTGGTGCCGAAGAACTTCCCGCGACCTGGAACCTACGGACTGTGTCGCCAAGTTTTGGCCTCTCCGGGCTCCCCAGCATCTACTCACACCCTGCAAAGTCTCGGGGTCTCGGAGCGTGTCCCCATCCCTCTGCACGCCTCCGACTCTCTCCCCTCAGGGATGCACGGGGGCTCAGGGGGTGACTTTTCTTGAGTTGGGGCTGGGGCGTTAGCTCTGACCAGGGGTGCAGTGGTCCCTTCTCCGGTTTGGGGCTGGGGAGAGGGCCTCACACTCAGCCACAAGTGGGTAACGGGCCTCGCCTCCTGCCCGGACCTTCCCGTGGCTGTGCCGAGAAGTGCCCAGCGCTGAGCTAGCTAGGTTCGGAGGCTCGGCGTCGGGTCCTCGCGGAGCCCCCGCCTTGTATGGCGGTGTGACCGCGGCAGGCTCTCGCTCGGGCACAGTTGCCATCTGTGAAAAGCAGGCTGTGGACGCGGTGGACGCTGCTACTCCATCCTAGGCCCTGGGCTTTCATCTCTCCTTTTGGGGGCAGGGATGGGTGTTCTGCTTTGAGCTTCGGGGGTGCGGATGGGGAGTGGGTGGGGTAGCAGGGCCTCTTCCCTGGGGCCTTCGGGCGGGTTCCAGCGCTGGAGCTGTTTAGAAACCAGATTGGGGTTGGGAGGACACGCCACTGGATCGCGCGAAGTCCTAACCCCCTTCTCCTGCGGTCCGGGGCGCCCTGGGCCGGGGGGCCCATATCTTCCTACACACTCCCTTCCTTGGGGGCTACACCACACGCAGCCCGGTTACTCCTGCCCTGGCCCGGATTCAGCCCCCAGGCAGGGCCGGACTAGCAGCGGGAGGGGCTAGAGCCCGGCGCCCGGACCCTGGGGCGGCCCTAGGAGCAGGGGCGGTGCTGCACCGGCCGGGACGAGGGCCACTGAGGCCTCGGGCAGAGGAGGCCGCAGAGAAAGACAGGCGGCGGGAAAGGGGGATGATTCATCCAGAGGAGCCCGAATTGGAAACATTGCAACCTGGGAACAGCCTTGTCCGGGCCGAGGGGAGAGCCAGGAGGGGAGTCCACCGGACGAGGCCTGCGCCCGGCCCCGCAACCCGCTGCCTCCTGCCCGCCACAGTCCGGTTGCTGGGGGAGGGGGCGGCCTCTTCTGAGCAGAGTTTAAAGAAATCCTGGGCAAAGTCTACCGCTAGTCCTGGCCAGAGTGGTCTTCCCCGAGTCTTGCTCACGTCTCTCCTGCTGCAGCTTCAGTGCTGACTGAGGAGGTCTGGAAGGAGGAGGGGGCGGGCAGGAAGAGGCTGGAGTCAGTGACACCCCCTCCTTCCTACGCTGCGGTATGTAAAGCGCAGTAGGGGGAAGAGGGGCCCGTGAGCGAGCGGCTCCAGCGGACCCGGGCTGCCCGCCTCCCCCAACCCCCTTTACTACAGTGCAGCCACGTGCGGGGGTGAGGTCGCGCCCGGGCGGGACTTACCCTGCAGACGCCGTTTCCGGGGCCCACACACCTCCCGAGGCTCGGGCCCCGGGGGTTGGCAAAGAGGGCGTCGGCGGTCCCAGCCCTGCAGCCGAGGATGCGCCAGGCAGGAGCGGGCGCCCCCCTCCCTCCTCTCCGCCCGCAGGCCCGGCCAACTCGGGCTTCTGCCGTGCGGCCCTGGCTCCGAGCACTGCTGCGGAAAACCGGAGTGGGGGCGGCTCCCCGCCTGGCAGCCCGGGAAAATCCGGGGGCGGCCGCCAGGGATCTCTAAGCGTTCTGGGCGAGGCAGCCCGATCTTCCCTCCCGGATTTGTGTCCCCAACCTGACGCTCCGACCCTAGGCCCGTCGGTTCAGCCCCTGCCTCCCGTCTTCTCTCCACAGGGCGCCCAGACGACGGCGAGATGACTGCCGGCAGCCCCGGAGACCGCGTGGAGGTGCGGAGGAGCCCCGAGGGCCGCGTCTCTCGCCTGGGCCGCCGCCTGGGCCGCCGCAGGCGCCCGCGCTCCCCGCCGGAGCCTCTGCGGGTGCGGGCGCGGCTGAGGCTGCGCTCGCCGTCGGGGGCGTTCGCCGCGCTGGGGGCGCTCGTGGTACTGGTGGGCATGGGCATCGCAGTGGCAGGCTACTGGCCGCACCGGGCTGGGGCCCCAGGGCCCCGGGCTGCCAATGCCAGCGCGCCCCCCGTGAGCGAGCTGCGACGCGAGGGTCGCGGTGCTGGTCGGGCCCACGGCCCGCACGAGCGGCTGCGGCTCCTTGGGCCCGTGGTCATGGGCGTCGGCCTGTTCGTGTTCATCTGTGCCAACACGCTTCTCTACGAAAATCGTGACTTGGAGACGAAACGGCTTCGCCAGGGTGTACTGCGGGCTCAGGCGCTCCGGCCCCCCGAAGGCCCTGGCTGGGATTTTGCTCTCCTCCCCAGCCCCAGCCCAAGGACTCCCCGAGCCATAGGCTGTGCGGAACCAGAAAGTTGGGACCTATCCCCACGTCGGGGTACCTCACCTGTCCCATCAGTGCGGAGTCTGCGTTCTGAACCTGCTAATCCTCGTTTGGGGTTACCTGCCCTGCTCAACAGTTACCCGCTGAAGGGCCCGGGGCTGCCCTCCCCTTGGGGTCCACGGACCCAGACTGGCCATGTGATTATCACCGTGCAGCCTTCTGGTTCCTGCATTGAACACTCCAAGTCTCTGGATCTGGGCCTTGGAGAGCTCCTGCTTGGGGCCCCAGCTACACGGGACTGTGCTCACCGAAGCTGGCCTCGGCTGGATCGCCTCAGTCCGGAGGGTTATGCCAAGTTGGGAGGGGGAGGGGACTTGGGGGCTCGGGTTTGAGGAGCAGGGGATAGACGGCTATGAGGCTGCAGCATGGACCATGGTAACAGGACCAGGAGTCCCAATGTCTAGCAGATGTTTTGATCATATCCCAGCCTGGGGAGTGGATGCTCTGGCCCCAGCAGCTGATAAAGGCATCCTGACTTGCATGTCAGCAGAGAAATGCCAACTGCACAAGGGTTCAATAAGCTGAAATGTGTTTTACCGTGGATTCTGGAGACCAGCATGACTCGGCCTCAGGAATTCCTTCAGCCTACAAAGTGGCCTTAGCCCTGAACAGGTACCTTCAGGGGGCTGGAGGCTCAGGCCAGGGCAACTGGGAGAGGCACCTGGCGTCTTGCCAAACCCAAAGTGGTGAGCAAGGAACCCTAAGACTTGGAAGGTAGGCGGAGATGTTACAGGTTGGGACAGGTTTCCTCCAAGGTGGCACTGGTGACTGGGTTTGGGCCTCCAGGAAGATGGGCAATGGGGTAGAGCTGAGACCCTTCACTGCCATCTGGGATGGGGACGGAGCCTTTAACTCCCAGGACCTCAGTCCCGTTCTTCCCTCAGCCACGCGGGGCACACCCTACTAGGGCTACACTACTGCCGACGCCTTCACGCCGAGGGGCTGGCCCTTCCCCAAACAGATCTGAGAAGTCCTTCTCTCCTTTGTCCTGGTCTATGCTGCAAAATCTCCCTCCAGCTGGCAAAAAGCATTTGCCAGTTCTCAGAAACCCTTTTATACAATGTTGAAGCTGCATTTTGGCTATGTAGGTAGTTCACTTTAGCAAAAGGGGAAGAGAACTTTAAAAGCTGATCAATCCTCACAGATTCAGTCCTTTTTTTTTTTTTTTTAAAGTTTATTGAAAAAATGCAGTACAAGAAGCAAGACCAAACACATATCTAAACACTACAGCCACTTCTCTTACTACGAAAGGCCAGAACAGCAGACCTAATTATTGCCTATTTAATCTAAGGATTTTGCCAATTTGATTCTGCTGCCATAGTTCCTATTTTGTCAAGAAATGTAAACTACTTGATATGATTCATAATTTTTAAAAATTTTACAAAGCTCCTTCATTTTTCTCACCAAAATAATACATTTGAGAGAGATTTGTAAAACCACCAGCCTGGGGCTGAGATCCTGGGCAGATATTTCCTATGATCATTCCTCGGTGTTGGTCAGGCCATAGCTCTGGCTCCATTTCCCAAGGCGGCTGTTGTCCCCTCACCCTCAGCTGCCCTGCAGAACACACGGCGGAGGGCCTGGGAAGGGCGGCGAAGGTGCCCTGACAGGTCCCTGCAGCCAGGCTTTGTGGGCCCTCAGCTTATAAATGCAGGTCCAGCTTGGTGAGTGGGTGGGTGGCAGAGACCTCATGCGGCTAAGAGGAAGTCTTTATTTCTCAAGTGAAATAAAAATAAAATCGCAATGAAAGTTGTTACTGTGGTATGTCTGAGTCACTTTAGGAAAACTGCTGCCAAGTCCCCCCCTCCCTTCTCCCACCTGGACAGAGCCTGTTTTTCTTCGCGCGCGCGCACACACACACACACACACACACACACCCCCTTTGCAGGAAGAAGAAAAAATCCAAACTATTGCCAAACCCCGGGATCTGTTGCCAGAGAAGGAGGAAAGGGAAAGAGGCTTGGAAGGACCCCCCTCATACTAGCTTGTCCACATCACGACTCTTCAGGGCTAAAAGGGCGTTATAGATCTTCTGGTCCAGTTGATAGACAAGGAAGCAGCAAGAAGTATAGCAAGTTGGTGACAGAGCTGAGGGAAAGGTGAGGCCCCTGATTTGTGGTCCTTTGCTCTGAAAGCTGCCACACTGATCTGGATAGCACAGAACATTCAGTGCGCCAGATTTCTAATGCGCTTGCTATGCCTTCCTCCTCTCCCCGACCCTCTTTCATTCCACAAGTGCAGCTTTGGGAGCCACAGTGGCTTTCACCAGGACAGCCGGCCACTGGGAAAGTGAGCCAGTATGCTTGTTTGATGTGAACTGGACCATCCAGGCCTGGGCACCAACCAGAAAGCCCCATCAACATTCAGACCTATGCCCACAGGCTCCAAGTCTGTTCCTGAGACAGGACAATCTCCCCAAGCCTGTCACATGTCCCACCTGAGCTCTTCCTGTACCTCCCCAGAGAGAGCGGCATTCTGCTTAATAACAATCTCACATGGTTACTAAAAGGAAAATGCACACACCTGAAGTAAGTTCAAACCAGCTGAGTCTGTCTGAACAAAACTCAGCCAGCAGACACTTTAGACACGCCGCCGGCCCCCGCTGTGGGGGGCAGAGGAGTAAGAGCGGTTAGACTTCTCTTGCTCGCGGCCCTGCAGCCCCCAGTGGCTGTGGGCTCTGACCCACCGTCTGTCTCTGAATTCACTTCTGTCCCAGAATTAGGATTCTAAGAACTTCCAGGCAGATCTGTCTGTGAGAGGCAAGTTGGACGATTAGAGGAGCCCTACGGAATAAAAATACCGTACCTGTACCAGGAATGGTGGATTTGGGACATCAACCTTCATTTTCAAAACCAAGCCAAAAGAATTAAACTCAAATCCACCATAAAAATCAAGCCTACAAAACCTGCCAGACCTCAGATGGTGAGTGAGAATGAGCAGAGCTGGTGCTTGTGCCCCTTGGCACATGGGGTCTTGTGGGAAGAATAGCCCCTAAAAGCCAATTCCCTTGCCCCCAAAGGGTGCCTGCAGGCAGGTGCTGGTGTAAGAAGACAGGGAGGGGAACACTCTCTCCTCTCTGAGCCACACTCCTTAGCTTCCCAGGTTTAAAGAAGAGGCCCAGGGATGGTCACCTGGAAATACTTCTTAGCAGGATCTGACTGAGGTAAAGCCCACCGTTCTGTGAAGTGCACATTCCCAGAACTAGAAAACCTTTCAAAAACCTCATTCACTTTCTTTGCCCAAATCATCACTAAAAATGTGCCATTAGTGCTTTTGGCCAAAAGTGCCTATTTTTCCGTGAGTTTTGGTCTCCTGAGATGGGAGGTGGGGGGAGCACTCAGCAGAGCCACTATTTCTGATGAGGTAAAAGGAAGGGGGCGCAGGAAGGTGAAGGCCACGGATCTTTTAAAACATTCACAGTATCAGATATAGCTGAGCAACATCTCACATCTTTGATCTAAAGAAGCTCCGAAAAGAAAGAACAGGAGGGAGGAAGGAAAAGTAATACTACATTCTTAGCAGAGGTCTCTGCCTCACCAAAACCACCCTCTACAAATGGACAGGGACACTTTCCTGGGGTCTGTGGATCAGGGCAGCACCCTGCCTGACATTCTGGTGAAGTCACATGATTGGCTCTCAGAAAGGGCTGGTTTTTGAAGTTTCTGCTGTCATCCAAAGGGTATAAAAACTAGGAAAGGAGCAGGGCAGCCCCATTAAGCTGGCTTTGGCCCCCAACATAGCTGACAGAGTCTTTGGAGGATTTCCAGAAGAATTCTGTGGGCCCTGTCAGCATCTGGGTTGGAAATTAACGGGGAGAGGCTAGATGGAGGGGATTACAAACCACCCCATAAAAAACCCAAAAGCTCTTTAAAAACAGTCCAGACAGTGAAAAGTTGAACAATTTCTGGTATCACAATATAGAAAAAGGCATTCAAAAGGATCGGTGATGTCTAGAAGACTCTGTTGGTATAAACTCCAAATAGAAAATGAAATTAATTTTCTGGTGGTTTATAATAATCTTGAAAGTCTGAAGTCTGACTATTGCAGTTTAGCTTCTTTATCATTTCTCTTGGATGGGAGACGGGCAGGGAATTGGGGGTAAATGATTCCTAGAGGAAAGAAGAGCAAAGTTGATAAATTCTGAAAAGAAGACTTACCCAGTCCCATTACCAAATTCTTGGGGCCACAAGCACAATCAAGGCCTGAGCAGTTTTACAGGACCCAGTCCTGACTGGCGATTGATGGCATCTTCAAGACATTTGTAAACTACTTTTAGGCATGAATTTATCTGGCTCTCTGCTTCCCAAAAAGCAGCTACCCTGCTTCTAACCCTCTAGTCTGGTCCAAGAACTTTAGCCAATTCTTCCCTGTCCCCCAGCCTCTCCATTTCCAGACAGCCTGGTCCTGCTCTCTTGGTTCTGTTCTCCTCTGGCCCTGCTCTGTGACAGCAGATAGCAGAGCAGCAGAGAGAAGAAGTGGAAGGCAGGCGAGGTGGAAAAGCAGGAGGCTGCATGAAGATTCAGGAGGTCAGTGGGGGTTTGCATCCACGGCTGGGGTATCTCCTCCACCCCGTCTCTGCTGGCACTGCTAAGGGAGGGCGGGGCGGGGGTGTGTGTGCAAGGAGACCTAGCTGCTTTAGCTGGACCCAAGTACTTAATAACTTCCAATGGCGTCCTCATCAATATCTCCTCTGCCTTCACTGTGCCAAGCTCGAGGGTGGACACCTCTGGGGGGACAACTCCCAGAGGGGCCAGGGTCCCTGCTTAGTGCTCTCTGAGGCTGGGACAGTGAGTACCCTCCACCCCAGCAAGAAGAGCCTCTACCTGAGCTCAGTCCTCAGAGATTTCGGTCTCCTGATGGACGACCACCTTGGTCACTGACATGTCTGGGTGCTGCTCCTTTGCCTCCTTGATGGCCTGTACGAGGACCTGAGAAAGAGAGAAAGCACACCCGTCAGGTGGAGAGCAGCCTGGCTGATGAAGCAGGGCAGGGGCCATGGGACAGCACTGCTCTGGCAAATTCAGTCCTGTCTGCAGTAGCAGGGCGGCATTTAGGCTAAGACAAGCTGATGATGATCTTAACCACTGCATCCTACACAGGGAAGCTCCTGGACTAAACACAGAGACAGGGAAGGTTAGAGCTGCTTTTAAGGAATCAGAGAGGCACTTCAGGGGTGATGGCTGCACCTGCTCAGTGGGCCTGGGAGCATCCACTCGGAAGTGAGCCTAAAGGACAAAGCAAAATCTGTGTTCAACAAAGTTCAGAACAGGAGAGGGAAATAAAGAAGCATGCTACAAAAAGGAAAAGATGTCTCTGGCTAAAGTAGGGAGAACAAAGGAGGAGTGGGAGGTCCTACTGTCACGCACTAGCCTAACCACATTACTTATTATATGAGTATAATTAATCTTCACAACAACCCAATGAATGAGGGTAAAACCATTATTTTGCTTTTATACACAAGGAAACTGAGGTTCCGTGGTTAAAGTGCTTAATATTTCATATCTAGTAGGTAATGCAACAGAAGTTTTAACTTAAGTCCATCAAACTTTCTTCTTTACCATATTGTCTTTAGATTCTGGGGAGAAGGGACGCTGTTGTAGCATCTGAAGGAGTTTTGATCATTTTAGAAAAGCCAGAGGGAGCAGAGGGAAAGAAGAGCAATGAAGCCACTACTCCCCTTGGGCTGCAAGTCTTGGAGCCTTTAGCTCAGAGGGCCCAAAGGTGCCGCAGGCTGGGGAGGCTGGTGGCACAGCGATTCTCAGAGACAGCTCTGCCACCGCCCCCCCACCCCGTCCCAACCCCTCTGATCTGACCAGCTGACTCTGGCTCTTAAGAACCGTCTCTAAGATAGACAGGTGGGACAGGGGAAGAAGGGAAATCCTTCCATCCCTCTTTTGGTCTCTTGTCTCCATGAAAGCTACTCTTGGAACTACCACTTCTGTAGGTCCCTGCTCATCCTCCCTGACCCCTTTTTGCCCAACTCACCCGCTCATGCTTCAAGGCCCAGCCCAAGCCCTCTCCTCGGTTACTCTGGCCTTCACCTATCTCGCTGTGAAAGCATGCACTGCACAACTTCTCCTGAATCGTCCTTCTTGAAGTGCTCCCCTCCACCATCCAGAGAGCACTACACCTTATCCTTTCCTGTAGCCCTCAGTACCTAGGAGAACTGAGGGACCCTGGAGCATCTCTTTGTCACAACCACCCTGAAAGAAACTTATGATTATCTCTATTCTATAGACGGTGAAACTACATCTCAGAGAAATAAAATCACTTGCTCAAGGGCATACAACCTATGAGCTATGGAGTCACACTCCAAACCCCCCACCCCCAACACCTTCCCAGCTCACTGCTCTTGCTGCCCAGCACAGACTGAGCACATGGCGGGGCCCAGACCAGGCCAGACAAGGAGGTGGGTGCAGGCTGGTGATGCAGCAGGATCCGCCGAGGTGGGGCAAACAGGCTGCAAGGCCTCTCACTTGAGCGGAGCAGCCTTATTGCTGGAACCCTGAGCCCAGCATTCTTAGCTGTAAGTCTCAACTCTGCTACCGAGGGAACTGCCAGCACTGCAGCTCAGGTTTTATTTTCCTTTTTTATTAAAGGCACTCAGCATAGCAGAATAAAGGCCACAGAAACATTGCTCCAGCGCTCCTGTCAAAGAATCCAGAAGCATTTGCATGAAGTGCCTCCCACCCCCTCTTCTCTGCAGCTTTACTGTCCTAACCTCTCTGGCAGGGAATCGGGAACATTAATCCTGACCTTATTATTTGCTAATTGCTTGTTGCACACAATTAGCACCTAATTAACATGAAAACATAGAATTTAGCTCTCAGAAGGGCCCAGAAATTATCTAGATCAACGTACTGTTTTAGGAAAAGAAAAAAAATCAGAGGCAAAGTGTTTTGCCCAAGGTCACACAGTAAGTTGTTAGGTCTAGGGCAGAAATCAAGTTATGTCCAAGTCCCGGTAGTTGTCTCCTCAGCTGTGACAGCCCTGAGGGTAGAGGTCATACCTTCCCTTTGTTTTGATGGCATCTATTGTCTCTAGCACAGGTTTAAGTACCTGATATCTCTCAAATGGCAACAGCTCCATTTACTTGGAGCCCACCATGTGCCACACGCCGGACATCCGCATCTCACCTGATTCTCCCAGCCTTGAGAGGAAGGTGCTAACACGCCCATCATATAGATGAGGAAGCAGAAGCCTGGGGAGTTAAGCACTAGAATTTGGTCAGACATAGGATTTGAACTCAGGTGTTTTGAGACTGAAGTCCATGTCTTCCTATGACACTTCTTTGCTCCCCAATCTATGGCCCCCGTCCCACAGGCCTCAGTGATCTGATTCCCTTTGTCTTCCTTTGTCTTCTTTTTTAAAAAAGATTTATTTATTTTTAGAGAGAAAAGAGGGAAGGGGGCAAAAGAGAGGGAGAGAAACACTGATGTGTGACAGAAATAGCAATCAGCTGCCTCTTGCACGAGCCCCAGCTGGGGACCTGGACGCAACCCAGGCCTGTGCCATGACTGGGAATCAAACTGGCAGCCTTTCACTTTGCAGGAAGATGCTCAACCCACTGAGTCACGCCGGTCACGGCTGTCTTTCTTCTTGAATAAGAGCTAGAGTAGCCGAGGGGGCTCTTTGGAGGTGAAGCTGGCAGAGGTGTCTTTTACACCCGTCAATCCTCCTGCCCAGGGCCCCTCCCATTCTCACAGTCTCCTCCACATTCCCACCTGATCATGGTCAATGTCGGCATCTCCTGTGATCACAATTCTCTTTTCAATCCGGGTCTCTGATATCCCACCTTTTACAGTCTGAAACCAAAAGGAGGCAGTCATATGAGAAAGAAAGAAAAGGGAAACAGTAAGAAATTATTCTGAAAGCTCCACTCCAAATTTTAATCTGCTGCTGGTACTGGATAGAAGTTTCTCACATACTTGTCCAAGATCTTGGCTGGACCTGCCAAATGAACACACCTCTGTCCCCTTGGATTGGTAAATCTTTAATAAGTTAAACAAAATATTGTAATTCCCTATTTATTTACTTTCTCCTTTTTCTCCCTCCCAAACACCACAAAAATTCAGTGAGTAAATAAAATAAATAGGTATTTTATTTATTCTACACCTGTATATTTTATTATTTGATTATTTTCAGGAGGAAAAAAAATCCAAAGACTGATCAAAAGTGTCATGTAGCTTGAAACTGGGCTCTTTATTCTAAAGCTTTTTCATATTACTGATGTCAAGAGCCTCAACTGATCCCCTCAGGGTGGGCAGGTTTCCTGACTTGACACAGGAACAAAACCAAGGTCTAGACATGTTAAGTAACTGGCTTCCAGTCAACTGTATGCTGATGACAGAGCTTGGTCAGGAATCTAGATTTCTTACTTACAAGAAAATGCATTCTCCTCCAGTGCTACAGCAAATGTGGATTGTCTCTAACTTTCTGGGAGCAGTTCCAATTTTATATATGTTGTCCCTGTTGCCCTCATAAGCAATACTGTAATACTTCCAATATTTCAGCATCCAAACTATGGTTCTCATGGCCTTGATCCTGGATGTGATCCTGATTTTTTCAGCTTGGAAAATATGGTTGCATAATAGTACCAACAATACTTCCCCTTATACTGACTTTTTAAACTTACCTCCACAGCCAGGTAGGAAACTCACTAACCAGAAAGACAGATGGATGTGTAAAGAGAACAACCACATGTACCTTTATGAGCCTACTCAGTAGGCAGGGATACCCTCAGGGTCTCCCTAGGTTTATCCCTAGGAAAAACAGCAGGTCCTTTCCTCCTGGGACAATTGGAATAATCTGGCTCAGTAGGGATGGAGCAGAAAACCCTTGCTTATAGACCAGGGTCCTTCCTGCAGAGAGGCAACATGCTTGACATGCTATTGGATTCCAGAAGAACCCACTGGCTGGTCTATTACCTTGGTAATCTGAGTTGTGGTGGTGCTGCTAGTGGTCTCAGATGTGATGGTCTGAGCTGTCAGCAAGACTCCTGGGTCCAAGTCCCCATTGCTGTCATCGGTCTACAGAAGGGATAGAAACACCCATCATTAAGCCTTGCAGGAAGCTTTGTGGGCAAATGTTGCAGGATGCAGTTTTGCTCTTGAGCCATAGATTCTAAATCAAAAACCTGTTTCCTTTATAGTGATCTCTCTCCCTTTTTAAAAAATGTTTCTTACTTTTCCTTTTCCTTTTTTAAAGGGGCAGGGAGAGAGAGAGAGAGGGAAAGAAACGTCAGTGCATCAATCAGTTGCATTTTGTATGCACCCTGATCGGGGACCAAATCCACAACCCAGGCATGTGCCCTGACCAGGAATCAAACCCATGACCTTTCAGTTTGCAGGATGATGCCCAACCAATTGAGCGCTTTAGACAGGGCTACAGTGATCTCTTAATAAATACATTTTAAAAAATAAATTAATAAAACCAGCCCTGGCCGGGTAGCTCAGTTGGTTGAGCTAAGGAATCTCAGGCTATCTTCTTTGAAGATGGAGATGGAAGACTGGAAATGAATGAGATAGTAAGTGTCCCTTTAAAGCAAAGTGGAAGGAAATATACATAATATCTTAGTGACATTTCTGACAACCACACTCTTACTGAAATGAACCCTCTTTATTATAGGAGGTGTTTAAAAAGTTTTCAAAATGCTGAGCTATACAATTCATCCAGAAGAGAACAAGGGCTGGGGCTACTTCTTATTTCTCTGGAGCTCCCCAAATATGACCAAAGCAAACATACTCTGATCAGGCTGAGAAATGACATTAGCAAAAGAGAGATAGTTGGCAGGGGCCAAACTCAACATGATGAGCAGCGATCAGCAATCATTTGGCTGTTTCACTCAGAGCTGCTGCTAACCCCAAAACCAAGACGGCAACAAATGAGACTAAGGAGATAGAGGCTGTCTATGGCGACATGCTCTTCAGATGATAATGACCTAGAATACCTGGTACTGGTATTGTACATTGTTTCAGAGGAGGATTTAGAGAATTACAATTATTTTCATAAACAATCCTGAAGCAAAACAGTTTGTCAGGTTATTATCTTTCTGCCCCTTTACACAAGTCATTTATACTATGAGCAGAGGCCTCCAACCTTTTTATGAGAAGGACCACATTTTATTAAGGCAAAACTTTGATATGGGCCCAGGTAGCAGGTGGTGGTGAGTCAGGTGGGGGAAGGAAAAGAGTTAAGGAGGAGAGAAGTCCCTGGCTGGGTTCCCTTCCAAGTAGGAATCTAGACAAAACAAAGAGAGGGAACATGGTCATGTCACCTAAGTCTTACATACGTGGCACCACCACACTAGGTCTATTATGGGCTAGTTCACTGATACTTTCTTCAGCCCTGACCCACTTATCTACCTTAGATTCAGACTTAACTTAAAATTTACCGGACTCCTATGTGTCAAGCACATGATGTAAGTGTAATCTCAATTACACTTCTCAGCATTTGAAGTAGGTACTATTATTATACTCACTGTATATAGTTAAGAAAACTGAGGACCAGAGAGGTTATAGAATTGGTCACAATTCTATAGTTAAAAAGCATTTGAACTAGGGCTTAGGGCAAGAAACTTTTTGAAGTTTGAGGTTTTAAAGTTTGAAGACTGAGGCTTGGATCTCAGCTCAAATAACTGGGCAACTTATTCTGACTTCTCTTAGTTTTAGTTTTCCCATTTATAACAGGCAATACTGTAGTATGTGCTCTGCCTCCACCATAGCATTCTTCTGAAGATCAGAAAAGATCACAGAAATGAAAGGACTTTATAAATTATTGTAAGAATATAAATTTGCATGCCAGGAGGGTTAACCCTTTTTAAAGAGCTCCTCCTCTACTAAACCTGTGGCTCAGCTTTGTTCCGCCTCATCCTCAGCCCTTCACCCCTTCCTTTCTGCCTCTGAAAAAGGCGGCAGATGGGGAGACACACATCAGGCTTTTCTTTGACTGTCTTACCAGTGTTTCCTCAAAATGGTACTGTGGCTTTGACTGTTGCTTATAAAGTTAAACGGCCATTTATCCTGTGACCCAGCAATTCTACTCTTAGATGTTTACCCGAGATAAGTGAAAACATATGTCCACAGAAAGACTCGCATATAAATGCTTATAGCAGCTGTATTCATATTTGCCCCAAACTGGAATCAGCTCACATGTCCATCAACAAATAAAAGAATAAGCAAACTGTGGTATATTCATACAATGCAACACTATTTCACAATAAAAAACAGTAAACTGTGGATTCATATAACATGGATGAACCTGAAAAACATGTTCAGATACAAAAGTGTACTACAGTACACTCTATTTATATGAAGTGCAAGAACAGGCAAAACTATGGTGATAGAAATCAGGGCAGTGGCCTAAAAGGGTAGGAATTGACTGGAAAAGGCTACAAGGAAGGAGGGCAGGAAATGTTCTGTATCCCAAATGTGTCTTTGTTATACAAATATATATACATTTGTCACAACCAATCCAGTCGAACACTTAAAACCTGTGCATTTCACTGGACGTGAACTTGACTTCAAGCTCACATACATGCATATATACACAAACAGGAAAGCCCTATGCTGGCTCCCTATCTCCTCTCACCCTGTTTTCCCAAGTGTGAGATCGCAGAAGAATAACAAAAAGGTTCCTCGGTTTAGTTGTCTGGCAAGATAACAAAATCAGAAGTAAAAATACTATAACAAATAAAATAATAACAACAGCAGAGAATTATCTGGTACTTCTTAGACACCAGACACTTCTTTCTACAAATTATTTCCATTTTGCACCGTGCTTTTTTCACTTACCAATTTATCATGCAGATCATTCGCATCAGAAGCTTTTTAAAATAGCTGCAGGAATCAAACCCATGACCTTTCAGTTTGCAGGATGATGCCCAACCAACTGAGGAAGGGGAGTCTGCCACCTGAACTCCGCCTCCTGCTGTCTCACCTCAATTGGAGAGACCGTAATTTATTTAATCTGTTCCCTACTGATGGACATTTAGGTTGTTTCCATGGTAGTGGCAACTTAAAGGGCTCCCTCCCATAAACAAGTACTTCTTTCCTACATCCTCTGGCTAATTGTGTGCACAATCTTACAGTAATTTCCTATTTCTTCCTTTTTTCAGTCCCCTTCACTGCCAAGTCCTATTCACTGATTTCTGTCTCTCCTGCTGCCAGAGCTTTCTTATTTCCTCAGGCTACACTTCAATTCTCTACAAGAATCTCCCAGACCTGCTTTAGTCATATTCCTGTCTCCCAGCATCCCCCTACTTTAATATATTCAGAACACAGCTTTAGGAATCATCTTCGAAAATCATTGCTTTAATTATGCCACTTTATCACCACTATTAAAAAACTTCAAGCAACCTCTCATTATTTATCAAACTCAAATTCCACACTCAGAAGAGAGAGAAGGGGGAAGCATTCTGACATTAACCAAGCACTTTATAGACACTGTTTCACCTAATCCTTCCCCAAATCTTGTGACGGTAGGTAGCCTTGTGCCCATTTTAGAGCTGAGAAGCCAGAGGCTTGGAGGGATTAGTGAATTGTTTAAAGCAATCCAGCTAGTCATACTGCAGGCCTTGGCCAAAATATCTCCTCCTCGGAGAGGTTTTCCAGGCTGTTCCAGCCCCAAAATAGCAACCTTTCATGTAATCCCAGGCGTCTAACCCTTTATTTTAGTTTAGTTTCTTTATAGCACTTATCACTGTCCAAAACTTATATATTTATTTATGTGTTTTATTGCCTGTCTCTCCTGACTTAATGTAAGTTCCAGAGGGTAGGACCCATGTTTACCTTGTACACTGTTTTGGCCTAATAAATAAATGCTCAAGAAATATTTATTGCAGGAAGAATTAACAGTTCAGTTTATAGAGGGAGAAGTTTTTCTTACTGCTGGCTTCTGTGAATTAAAAAAGAAAGGAAAGAAAAACAACATAAGCAACCCTAGCTCATTCAAATTGCCAATAATGAAGAAGAAATTTTATTAAAAGTAGGAAGTAAACAAAATTTTTAAATACATAGATTCTTATGTGATATTAAATTTGATTTAATTGTACTAAATTGATTGTAATTATTAGAGCTGTTATTTATGCTTTCAGGCTTGGTGCTGAAGTCAATTCCGTGCAGTACTATGTCTTATATATATATATATCTTTTTTAAAAAGATTTTATTTATTTATTTTTAGAGAGAGGGGAAGGCAGGGAGAAAGAGAGGGAGAGAAACATCAATTCGTTGCCTCTCGCATGCCCCCCAGCTAGGGACCAGGCCCACAACCCTGGCATGTGCCCTGACCAGGGATCAAACCAACAACCTTTCACTTTGTGGGATGCTGTCCAGCCAACTGGGCCATACTGGCCAGGGCAATGTGTTATATAATCTTCATAACAAAATCCTGAGGTCGATAGAGGCTCTAACGTCCTGTGGGTGGAGGGGGCGGGGCAGGACGCCAAGGCTCAGAAAGGTGTTCAGACACTTGCTGAAGTCAGTCAATGGAGAGGCCAAGCCCTGCACTCAGGTCGTTTCGCCCGAAGCTCCTATTCTTAACCATTACACTGGACTGCCCGCCAAGTGAATTGGGTGGATATAAACAACCAGATCCAAGACAATTTCGATTTTAATAAATTACTCTGGGGCGGGGTCCCCAACCCCTGGGGCACCGGGCCACCTGTACTGGTCAGAGGCCTTTTAAGAACCAGGCCACACAGCAGGAAGTGAGCCAGGAGCTAGGAAGGGGAGTCTGCCACCTGAGCTCCGCCTCCTGCTGTCTCCTCTCCTCCCCTCCCCCTGAGTCCAAACGGTGCCAACAAGTTTGGGGACCACTGCTTTGGGGCATTCTTAGATCAGTGGTCTCTTCTAAAAAGAATGGCCCCAGGAAAGCCTTGCATTATTTGGAGAAAATAATTAGATACCCTGTGGAAAAAAAAAGGTTATTTATTGTTTTTAAACACAATCCAGTCTTTGGTTCTGAAACACTAAACCGTGTCCTACCTGAGCAGCCTCATAGGTGATGGTCTTGGTCTCGGTGTGGACAATAGGGACGTCTTTGGTTGGGATTTCACTTTTCACAGCATTGGCAGTATCTGAGATGGTGACGGTCTGAGTCTTCACCAGGGGAGGCTGTGAAGCAGTAAAGAAACAGTTACCGGAATCTTCTGAAGGCTGTGAAGAACTAATTTTCTGACATTGATCTGATCAAAGTGATAATTCTAATCAGGCAAAGGGCTAGTTCAATCTCTGCCCAAGATTTGGACACTACCTCAAAGTAGCTCTGACAAGGTGTCAAATCATGAGAGATATTAAAGAACAGCATTACTGTAATCACTTCCATATGCTTAATGGAAAGCTATACGATCAGACAATTATGATTGGTGATATAAAACACTTCAGACTGACCTTCAGAATTTTAATATAAAACCATTTGCCAAATAGCAGATTTTTTTGTTTGTCCTTCTGCCTGTACCATTCAGAAAATCAGCTATAGTTTCTCAGGTTCAAATGGTACATGAAACAGCAGTGGCATTGAAATGCATTACCCTGAATTCATTAACTTCTTTCAAATCAATGTCAGACATTCACTTTGGAGTGATTGAGAAGAAACAGTATTTGGAAAACTGGGGGGAAAAAAATCAGTTCTACCACCACCTGGTGATTAATCTCAGAATTTCAGAAGAATGAGTATTAGTGGAATATCAAAGGCTACTTATCCATCAGTTCACCTTCCCCAAGACTATAAACCACCCTAAAACTACCAACGGATTGTGATAAAGTTAAGTGGCCATCCACCTTAGCGTAGGAGATTAGCGCCTGCGATCACGGAGGCCCCTGGGAGTGGGGTCAGTGGGAGTGGTGAGCTGTACTGTGTGGTTGCAATACAGAAATAATTTGGGGGGGATGCTGAAATCTCATAATAAAATCAGTTACTCCTTCTAATTAAGAGTATTTTAATTTTTTGAGCAGTCTCAGAGCACTGTAGGCTCTTCATCATGTAAGTCTCAGAAACTCATCTCTTTACGATTGTCCATACTTGACCAAGGAAGAGAAACACATACGAGCTTTGTAAAGGTAAACAGCCAGAGTTTACCCCTGAGAGTCTTGTTAAGTCACCAGGGGAAAAAGCATTTTGAAGCCATGGAGTTGATTCCTCTGGCTAAACTTCTGTATAGTAATCAAGGGCTGCAATTTTATTCTGTGATTTTGAAAAAAGCAGAGAGGCTGCTCCCCTCACCACCACCACCACCTCCTCCACAGAGTGGATTCTGGCCCTCGCGCAGCGCGAGTCGTTAGACCTGCATCGCTGAATTAGTTACTACCTGGAAACTTCGAATGAGGGTGGGGAACTGGGTACCCACACAAGAGTCAAGAAATGATCCATTTTGCTTCCCAAGTGGCTCTCCTGGTGTAACATGTTCTTCACTACTCTTTGCCTCTTTTTCACCAAGTTGCAGCTGAGAGGAAGCTGGTGATACTGAGAACTTTAAGGCACTGGCCTGTTCCTCCACTCCTATACAGTCCCCACTTGAGCCTCTTGACATTTCCTTAATATCAAGATAGTCAGCTTCCCCCTGCTCCTTCTCTTCTGTCTCCTTGCTGCTTATGGAGAGGGAGCCAAAATCAAAGCTTTGTGGAGACTCCGACGGGGTGGTCATTTGGCTCTTACTAGGAATTACTGAATGCTTGGGGCCCTCCCATTCAGAGTCAGGGCTGGTAGATGGCCCCTTTGTCACGGCAGCCGCCTCCTCTGTGCGAATGCCATTTATATTCTACAAATAAATGAACACATACAAAAGCAAGATGATTAGGAATAAGTGGGGAATATAGTGAACTCTAAGAATTGACAATGATTTTTTAAGAGGCCTCAAAAATATTAGTGCAAATATAAACCAATAATCTTAGCTCCTGAAGTAGTCAAAAGAAGAATTAAGTAAGCAGCTTAAGCAAGTTCGGACTTCATTCTGGTCATGCTTCTAGAACTCTGTTAATCTGAGAGGTAATTTTGATGTCCTTTGCTCAGAACCAAGCACTTTGTACTACTATGGTCTTTCCTTTATAACATACTCTTCATACATAAAAGCAGTTCCTTTGCCATTCCTAAATACCCAACTCATTGCTATACACAGGGCACAATACAATGTATGTGAGTCAATCAAAACATTCTTGAGGAGGTTGATCAGGTTGAAAAACATTTCATGTATCTAAGACATATGTATCATCATACTAGCACCTAATGCAGAAGCTAAAATCTACACTTTGGTTGATAGGGATATAGAAGTTGAGCTCATCCAGCACAGACTTAATCTAATCATTGCCATGGAATTAAATGTTATATCAAAACTAGTCAAACACATATTTGTAAACAGAATAAAAATGACCCAGCAGCTGAGGTCATTTCTTCACAGATGAATGAGTAACATCTCCAACCCCTGAAGGAAATGAATCCTGGAAACACAGAGTTCCCTCTTTGGCTAAATGCCTCATATCACAGGGAAAACAGATCTAAAACAAGTACTTCCAAGAGAATGTGGATGAGGAGAAATTGTCACAGCAGATGGACCTATTCCTAACCTTTAGGGAAAGGTGTTGAAGGTGGAAGAAGAGAAGCAATTCACACTTGCAGGGAAAAGAAATGAGCCATTTGAAAAGGAACAATCTAACAGAAGCCAAATGTAATGAAAAGTTACACATGCAAGTGCTCACCAGAAAGCTGTAAATATGCCACTTAGGCCTGAAATTTTGGTGAGGTCAAATTGCATACGACATATCACATAGGAACTTAATAACAGACAGGGACTCTTTTAAAAAGGTGTTCCTGAAGTAAATGACATACATTTGGACCAGCTTACACATTTTAGTACTCAAATCATGTTATATATATTATATTTTAAAAAATCACTGCTGCCCCTTTACTTGTAAACCAGCCTACCTGTGACAAATAAAAAACAGTGTTCTATCAAGGCAAGAAAAGATGCAGCACATTCAAGAACTTGAGGCCAGCTTTTCTTCTAAGCCACCTTGAAACAGTTGGGAGCATCACACGAGGCAGGTCTTTCATTGACTGGTTATAAACATTACTTAGGACATAAAAGATGGAATTGAGAAATGACAATAGAAACTCTCTGTCTGCAGATGTATCAGAGATACATAAAATATTCTTGCTAAGGGCATATGAATTTCCTCATACTTAAAATGAGAATAATACTTGGTTTGACTCATAGGGTTCTGAAGATCAAGTACAATAACCTATAAGAAAGCATTCTGTAAATTTTAAAGTACCATATAGATTCACTTACTTCAATCAACATTATATGAGCACCTATAATATGCTATGGTGCGGGACCACTAGAATGAACTTGAACTTGTACTTTTTTTTTTCTTTTTTTAATTTTATTTTCAGAGAGAGGAGAAAGGAGGGAGACAGAGAGAAGGAGAAAGAAATTAGTTGGTTGCCTCTAGCACACCCCCGACTGGGGACCTGGTAAGCAACCCAGACACGTGCCCCGACGGAATCAAACCAGTGACCTTTCAGTTTGCAGGCTGGTGCTCAATCCACTGAGCCACGCAAGTCAGGGCTGAACTTGTACTTCCTAGGGCACTTATATCACCATTTCTTTTGGGTTAGACAAGCTGATGTAGAGATATCCAAAAATAGCTGAACTGGTAATAAACAAATACGCTTTCTTAAATTGCTATATGCTAGCTCTGTGAATAGCATACCCAAACCTATTCGCATGGAAAGGAACTTCATCAAAGAAAGCTGATTAATAACCAGGAAAATACCTAAGATAATCAAGTAAGAGACAATTTTGTACCAGTCTACTTAAATGGTAAGGGTAGTCTGTCATCAAGAAGCCATTTGTGAATTAAACATTGTTCAGGCCAGCGCCACCTGGCCCAATGTTGTCTACTGCTGAGTAAAATTAGATTGATCAATCATTCTTTTCAAAGCATGTACAGAGGAGACCAAGGGCAAAAGCTGTAGCCACAGTACTATCAATTCAACAAATATTTACTGATCACCTAATATGTGTTAGTCTTTGGAAATAAACGAAAACTGGTAACAACTGGGTTAAATTACCACTTACAGCTCTCTCACATACAGTCAAATCAACCTCTCCAGCTGGCTCTGTTGTCCAGCTCTCTTAGATAACACAGCCAACTACTTACTGGACATCATCCCAGGCATATGGAATGCAATATGCCCCAAATAAAACTCATCTCTGCTGCTGTCTGGACCCGTCACCCCAACCTCCTCCATCATTTGGTACATTGGTAAGTGGCACCATCATTCACCCAGACTTCCGTGCCAGAGTCCCAAGAAGCATGATCAATGCCTTCCTTACACTCACCCGCCACCTCCTACAGATTATGTCAAGTCATTTCTTCCACTTTAATATCTTCCTTATGTATCTGTTGTTTCTACTCTACATTTGCTATCTTCATTCAGGCTCTTACAATGCCTCACCCAGTTTATGACTCATACCCTAACAGTTCTTCTTTTTTCCTTCTTTCCTATCTCAAACCTTCCTTGAATGCAATCTCTATTCTGCTGCTAAAGTGTTTATTCTAAAATGAAACATTGAAAAATCCAATTTGCTTCAGTGGTTCTTCGTTGCCTTCTGGTTCAAGTCCAGACCCTTTAGTAAGACACAAAAAATACTTGAAATTATGACTCCTACCTCTGCCCTGGCCGGTCTGGTTCAATGGATTGAGCGCTGGCCTGTGAACTGAAAGGTTGCTGGTTCAATTCCTGGTTAGGGCCTGTGTCCAGTTGGGGCTGTGCAAGAGGCAACTGATTGATGTTTGTCTCTCATATCAATGTTTCCTTCCCTCCCTCCCTCCCTTTCCCCTCTCTAAAAATAAATAAATATAAATCTTTAAAAAAATATGACTCCTACGTCTCTCTCTAGTTGCACCCTGCCGCGCTTCCACACATATCCTTCTCTCCATTAATTCAAAGCTATTTGTAGTTCCTAGAACAGACCAAGCTTTCTCTTGCCTCTGTGCCTTTATAAGTATTGTAATATTGTTCCTTCTGCCTGGAAATCCACATTCAGCTCAAGGGTCACTTCTTCTAAAAGCTTTCCCCTGGCTGCCTAAAGTCTGTTTAGATAACATTTCTCTTGTTCCCACTGTACCCTATCATTGATTTAGTCATCAGTCTTTTCCATTAGACTAAGAGCTCCTTAGGGGATAAGCACTTACGATGTTATTATGTGCTCTCTTGTACAGTTTTGACACATAACAGATGTTCAGTAAAAACTTGTTGCAAGTATACTCCATCCAGGTGAATTGACAACTTCTGCTTTGCCCTGTCCTAGTCAAAAACTGAAAAGGATGTTTAGAAAGAACATAAAAAGTGGCTCACTTGACCAGACCCATTGTCTAGTCCAGCATGTTATCGCCTACATCAGTAAAATAAGAGGAAAACTAACATTATTACATGTTCACCATGTGCAAGGTACTGTGCTAGTCACTTTAATACATTTCCTCATTTAATTTCTCACCTCACTATGAGGTAAGTCACTATCTTTATTTTACAGATAAAGAAATGAAGAGATTAAGCAACTTATAACTAGTAAGTGATGAAGCCAGGATTTCAATTCAAGTCAGTCTCTGGTTCTAAAGCCCATTTCTTTCCATGGCAAGAGAAAGCATCGATATTTCAAGTAGGACCAAAGGACATGTCCACCAAACCTGACTATACTTTTGGTATACTTTTTGGTAAGTACAAAGACTGTCCAAAGTCTTCTTAGCAGAGTCTGATATTAGTGACCCACACTGTTCTTTTAAATGTAAGGAGAAAGGCAGAAAGCCAGAAAAAAAGACTGAGGTAAAAAGAAGGTATAAAATCTCTATGACATGAGCCACTCAAAATGTGCAATACAACATCAGTGAGAAATTTTAACTGACAATTTGTGCCTTTGCCTTTGGCCACCACCAAGGACCACTGGATTATATAAGACTGCACAGCTGCATGTACCAGATTGCCTGCAAGCTTTAAAGGGAACTTCTCAGGGATATGAATAAATATATGACTGAATCTGAATCATCCACAGTGACAGACAAAATCGAGACTTAATGAGATTCAAAGGTGTTAATTCAGATGTTGCTTGTCTGGACTGATAGGGGAATCTATGAGAAGAAAATACTACTATAGTTAAGACCAGCTGCTTGTATAAAGCACTACAAGTCCTTCTAGCTGGTTTCAAGGATATGAGAAGGAAGAATGTTAGACAAACATTTACTTGAGCAGGAAAACAATTTGATGGAAAAATCTCAATTTTACTTAAAAAGTCAATAGTTCCAGCTATTTTACAGCTAATTCAGCATTGGGGCGGGGGAGAGGGGGTGGTTGAAACAGATTTTTTTTCCTAAAGGAATTCTCTTGAGAACTATGTATTCAAAGGGTTATGTCTCAGGATTATCAAACTATATATATACAGTGTGTGTGGGATTTGGGGAATTACAAATTACAAATCTGAAATCTCTTTCCTTAGAGATTTCAGATATTAAGAGCAGAATATGGGTGTTTTACAGGTACTTTGCTGCCATTTCGTTAAATGCAATCCAGAGTATTTTTCTTTTCAGGTTATTTTTGAAGTGAGGGGTTTATATATATTTAGAGAGACAATGAAAAGAAACACAGTTATGCCCTGGCCAGTGGCTCAGTTGGTTGGAGCATCACCCCATATACCAGGAAGCTGTGGGTTTGATCCTCAGTCAGGGCGCAAAAAGGAGGCAACTGATCAATGCCCCTCTCTCA